AATAATGTTTCTTGGCGATGAATTTTGTTGAAGTAGCATTTTTACAACGACGCTGAACTCGCAGCCATTTTTTGTTTATTTGCTTTCGGCGACTTGGCATCCTAATTAAAGAGCGTGGCGTATTGAACGATACCTGGCGACAGACTTGGTGCTTTTAAGTGGCGCCAATCTAACAGCTGCTGATTTGCTGAGTTTTGACGCCATTTTGTTACGCTACGAAAATGTGTATTTGGGATTTGCCAGAAACAGAACAAGATGCAATTTATTTTTCAGGGCAAAATATTTTACCAAAACATCGAAAATATCCCAATTCCCATGACATGAAACTTCTATTTTGGTAAACGTGTTTTGGAAATGCACTTTCAGTCAGTGTGCTTATCACTAAGAAAAGACAACTGGTTTGAGGGAATCCATTTTTGTACAGCTTTCAGATTCATATAGTGCTGGTGCGATGAGTTGACGTCGATTAAATTTTGTGAAAAAGCAACTTGATTTATCGGATAAAACTGTTATAGATTGGAACAATTACATGCGTGAATTATGTGCCTTGGATATGGAGAATAAACCAAAAAGAAGGTAGGTGGACCAGAGATTGCATTGTGGAAATTGATGAAAGTTTGTTTGTTTGTTTAAGTGTTTTGAATTTTGAAAAGCGTTTTGATTTTAAATGAAGTGTTTTATATATTTTATTATTTGGAACAAAAATTTTAAGTGTAGATTATAACCACTTAAAAACCGCCAAATCTGTAGCTGCGGTTGGCGCGTGTGATCTTGTTTATTGGCGCAACTGTCGCCAAGATATCGTTAATACGTAAGTACCTGAGAAACTAATGAATACAGCACGAGAACTGCTGTATTCATTATTATGTTTATTTGTCATCCTGGCGATGCATTTGGCACAAAGGGTGCAGGATTCTAGATTTTTACCTATACTTCTATTATATTGTAAATTTAAAAACTGCACATGACATTACAAAAGAGAAATGAAATAAAAGTAGGATAGATAAAGGATTTAAATAACAAAATTACAAATTTGGTATTATTAAAAATGCGATTGACATTCGGTACTCCACCTGCATTGAAGTTTGACAGATCAGTTGTACCTAATTTAAATCGGTTTAAATAAGAATTAAAGTGGCCATGTCCACTCATAAAACTGAATGATTCTGAGATCACTCATCTCCTCGTCATTTTTTTACTCATGAAGGTTGATTCCATGTACAATGAAGTACAGTGATTATCGGTCTACTCTTTTGAGTGGCGGCTTGATGGCCAATTGTCCAGCGATCTGGCACTTGGTACCACAGGATTCAGAATCGAATCCTGGAGATGGGATGGATGTTTGTGAGGGGTTCGAAATAGGGGCCTGAATGCCCTAGTATCTAGCACTCTGGCACTCATTGACACCGGTTTCGAGTTCGATTCCCGGCTGTGCCTTGATGTTTGTAGTGGTTCGGAATCCACTTTCAGCAGTAGGTTCCAGTCTCCCATGACTAACTCTATGACTTCCCCCACCAATATCACTCCCAAACTGAATAGGGGCAAATTCAGCTCGAGGTATTGTAATTTTGTGTCTAGAAATCAATCGATTATATTAAAATTATGATGATATATCATCATCAGTGGCGCAACAGTCCCTTGGTGGGCCAAAGCCGACTGCCTACTGGCCGATTACGAGATAGGAGATGATGTGATTTTAAGAGGCAGGGTTGTCAGCACTACGCCCAAAGTTCAGCAACCATATTAGATAGACAATTACGTTTTTTAATGTGGATCCGTAACCACTACAATCATCCATGGCCCCGTAGAGATTCGAATCAGAAACCCGTGGACAAAGCTCCAGGCGCTAGTCACTCGGCTATCATGATATATAAGAGATAAAATGCAAAAATCATGATTCCAAATATATTTTAAAATTTTTGAATATCCTTCTAATTGTTTCTAAGATTTAAACATAATAAAGTTTTAGAAAGAAAAGGTCACACTTGACCCATAAAAATGGAAATCCGTTTCCTTCACCTAATGACCCTCAAAACGGGACCTGAATGGCCGAGTGGCTAGCGCTCTGGCGCACGATACCACAGGTTCCGGGTTCGAGTCTCGGCGTTATTATGGATGTTGTGTAGTGGTTCGGAATCAACTTTAAATCGTAGGTTCCGGGTCCTAATCGGATCGTAGAGTGTTGCGGGGCATTGTTACTCCGCGTCCGTGGCTTATTTTCAAGTTACACGCGTCCTCTGGGTAATGCAAAGTGAGTAAAGTCTGCGCAGCGCTTGCCTTAAGGCATCAAGACCAAGCTGTCTATGTGTTTGCCAGCTGCATTAGAAAGAAAGAAAAAATGTCCCTGAATACACCTTAATCAATCGTCATAAGTTGGCATTAACATCTCTGCCATCTTTCCGGCCCTCCGCAGAGATCCCGTGCGATACGTTTCCGAGGGCGCACACTCAAGGTTCTCAAATTTCTGATTGAATTTAAATCCCTAGCGGGAAGGACTGCCTCCGTCCGATTACAATCCGCGGGGACACCGGGAGAGACTCATCGATGGCGGAGTAATTATTTATCCCTTTTTTTTTTTTTTTTTTTTTTTGATAGTGTAGATTATTACGGAGATCCTTGGCCGCTTAGCGGCCACTAGCTCCTTCTTTGTAAAGTGTTGAAACATAGTGGTGGTCTCATGCCCTTTTGAGTTAATAAGCAAAATAGATAATTAAATGCCCTTTTTTAAAAAGAGAATTATTTATTCAATAAAATTATAAAATGAAAAATATCAAAAATTTCAAAATGTAGATGTTGATGAAATCAGTTGCATGTAATAACCCAGAATGATCTTAGGAGAAAAGCGAACTTTTTTTCATCTAGGCAGTTGTAAGGAATTAATTAAAAATATTTAGAGAAGTGCGAGGTCTTTTGCTATGTTTGCGGGAAGAAATATCATAATCTTGTAGGATATTTAATACAGGGTTATTGATGTTTCGCATATCATTATAGAATTGAGTAGAAATTTTGTGAACAAATTGTCTTAAACTTGGAATCGAGAGAGCTCGTCTAATATCGTCATTACGAAAGCACCAGGGTGATTTCGTTAACATTCTGAGAGTTTTGTTCTCAAGCCTTTTGAATAATTTCAAAATTTGTACGTGCGACAGAACCCCAAACTGGGCTTGCATAAGCTAATACTGGACGAAGATAAGAGAGATATATTAGAATTTTGAGATTAAGAGGTAAAGCTGAATTTCTATTGATTAAAGGATAGAGAATTCTAAATTGAGTATTGAATTTATTTCTAAGGTTGTAAATATGCGATCTGTAGTTAAGTTTACTATCAAGTATAATTCCTAAGTACTTAGTTTCTTTAGACCAGGCGATATAATTATAGGAGGGTTATAGCATTAGGAGGGTTATAGCATTTTTTGCAAGTGAAAAGAACTGCTTCAATCCTGTTTACATTTAATTTTATCTTCAAGTTAATGAGCCATTTTTCTAAATCAATGATATAATTTTGCAAATTTTCCTGAATGGTTATTTCTCCCCGGGTGAGGATACAACGGAAGTGGGCAATGAGTTCGCGGCGGAAGCGGATATTGCGTCACAAGTGTCACTTTCAGTTGATAACAGAGCGAATTTATGGCCCGATGCGATTGTTTTATCGACGCATACGCTATGGACAGGAAGTGACGCTGGAGCTCTGCGATGCGTGGTACAGTCGCTCAGGAAGAAACACGGCTTCGAGTGTTGCCATGAGTGAACGAGAATTTTTATGGACGCTTCGTTACAGTTTAAATTCGCAGGAACGAGACTTCTTGTTCGTTATGGCAGGATGTAATGGCAGCGTTTGAAATGCACTCAAGTCTTTATGTTCACGTTTATTGTCTTAAAGGAACGTCATCTTTAAATGGAATTGTTTCGGTTGTGACTGCACAATAATTAAAATGTTACGTTTTTGGTATTGAAGTTGAGTAGAGTGTAGCTTTCATCAATAATATTAAAAAATAAATATATTTTAAATTATTTATTTTATAAACATATTTTTAATGTATTGTAATTCGTTCATATTTAAAAAATTATAATCAATATAGCTTTTAAAAATTTAAAGTTTAAAGGTTTTAAATTTAATAAATATAATTTGCATAAATATAATAAATTAAGTCTTGTGATTGTATCATAACATTGAAATTTATTAATGCATTGTTTATGTGACTAAAATTATTTAATTAGTTCATTTATTTCACACATTCTTTTAAATCTATTAATACATACAATTACGGAAAATATTCTGTTTTGGTTTGTCGCCCTACGGTCATTTTGTGCACACTTTGGGCTCATTAGACCGGGACTTACAGCTTAACGTGGATTCCGAACAAAGGGGAATGCCCGGATTGAGTTTGAAAATTATTTTCAATAAAGATTTAGGCAGAGTTTGATATATAGGCTGGTGTTTAAATTTCTGGAAACATACAATTTTTTTTTATAATAGTGATTAAAATTGGTTGAAATAGCTAATCGTTAAGGAATTCGCTGTGTGATAAACTTAAAATGTTACAATTCTAAAATAACACTATATTTAGTGAATGATGTGTTATTTTGGATTTATAACGAAAATAAATATTTCTTTCACTTTTTGTTTTTAATCTGCTTTTTATTCATTTTGTTATTTTTATTCATTTAAGCATATAATTTCAATTAAAGGTATAAAGACTTGTTGTTGATGTTTCTTATCCCACTTGGCTGGCCAAGCCCACGAATCCATACGTACTCATGATTGAAGGGGAAGGAAGCAGCTTCTGTTGTGATGGAGCACCCGTAGGTAGAAGTCTGACTTTGGCTCCGTGACGCTCTTACAGTCATAGGAGACCGGGGACCTACGGCTTAAAAAGTGGATTCCAAACCACTACAAACATCCATGGCACCGAAATTCGATGGCATGGCGATTCGAACCCGAAACCTGTGGCACCGAGCGCTAGACACTCGGCCATTCAGGTCTCAAATTTGTGAATGCCAACGGCACGCGGTGTTCCCAGGTGGTCACCCACCCAAGTACTGACCCCGCCCAATGATGCTTGACTTCGGTGATCTAACGAGAACCGGTATATTCAGCATGGTATGGCCGTTGGCTGGTATAAAGACTAACACCCATATGAAAATTTTATGAATATAATTTATAAATATCCTAATGAATGTATTAGTTTTCGATACTTTGTAACCGTAGATGAACTTTATTTCAATTTTGAGTAATATTGTTATTACTTGATCAATCCATAAAAACAAGTAATATAAAAAAAAAAATTTAAGTCAATTCTTACTTTTTTTTTTTTTAGTATATTGCAGAAAGTCAAATAAGATTGAAATAACAATAATTGAATAAAATTTAAATTTTCCTCTTCCATCGGGTGCCATCTATTATTTGATACATGCAACTTAAATCTAAAAAAAACTAAAATTAATTAATTAAGTTTAATGAATATATTAATATTTGAAAAACTGTATTAACATCCAGTGTCATATATTACAAGTTTCAAAAATGTGTTTGAACTTGGGTGGATGAATAAAAAATGTTTTATGAACGATTGACAATTTGAACAAGATATATATAGGGAGAGTGTGTGGTAATAGAAGGAATTGAAAAATAATATTAAAACATGAGGATGAAAGGTTATGCTTTTGAAAACTATTCGCACAATCGCTTATTCAATATCATTAATACTTCCACCATTTTTATTGTTTTTGATACGAAATTTTTAAGCCCAAAAATTAAACGCAAATCTTTTTAAGGAAATTTTAGATAAGTACTTTAGTTTAAAAACTGATCTCTTTAAAAAAATCACATCGTAACCAAATATAACCATTATTCAATTCAATCCTATAGATATATCCATTAATATTAAATAAAAAATGTTAACGAAGCAAAAGCTATGTCCAAAGACAAAGATGAATGAAATGAACTATTAATCATCTTTTTACAAAAACCATTAATCTAATAAAATATATTTATTGAATCATACAATTTTTGTCTCGAATGCCCTACTCAATGGTTCCGTGGAAAACCACCCATGGATTTGGGACATCATCCATGCACTACCGAAGTAACATGAGACGACACGAATGACAATCCAGACATCCCCTCCAGACATCTTCCTGATGACTTCCAGAAAGTCATCAGGAAGAAAAGAGGGATTGTCTTCAATGACATCTGCTCAACATCATTCATAAAACGTTAAGTAATTTTAATCGAAATTGTAACCGTATTCGTCTTTCTTTCTTTGGTCAATCCTAATAAGACATCGATTAGAGTAGGAAAAGGACGAAAATTGCTGAAAGAAGAGTTCAGAAATGAAACAAACGAGAATGAATCTCCTTAAATATCTCATTTTGAAAGCAATTTCAGCGGTTCGTTTTTTTTTTTTTTTTTGTGAAGAATTACGTTCTCAATGCACAGAGAAATGAGTAGATGAGACCCCTTATTTTCCACACAATAAATCACTTCGTGGTCTAATATTTCAGGACTTCCATAATTCAATGTCAAGCAAACAACTGATTATTTTTAATGATCCGAAATTCCTACTGATCAATAGAAGTTGCACTGGAAATAAGTGGTAATCGTTATCTGAAATCATAGTCATTATAATCGTATGTATCGATATAATGAAATTGACATTCACCTTAAACTAAATAAATAGAAATAAAAACTAACACCCATACGAAAATTTTGAAATGTAATTTATAAACGTTTAAATGAATCGATTATTTTCCCGATATTTTGTAACCAGACTTGAGCCTTATTTCAATTTTGAGTAATATTGTCTATTACTTGATCAATACATAAAAATAATTATATTAAAACATGAGAATGAAGGGTTATGCTTTTGAAACAATTCAATATCATTAATACTTCCACTTTTTTCATTGTTTTTGATACGAAATTTTTAAGCGCAAAAATAAAATGTAAATTTTTTAAAGCATTTTTGATAAGTACTTTAGTTTAAAAGTGATCTCTTTAAAAATCACATGATAATCAAATATAAACATTATTAATTCAAACCTTTCGATATATCCATTAATATTAAATAAAAAAATTTATACAATATATATAAAATAAACAAATAAATATTATTTAAAATATACATTAAAAATATATATTTATACAAAATATATTTTATAAATACAAAAATATAAATTATTTCTTCTAATGCAGCTGGCAAATAAACGGTGATCTTCGCCCTAAATATACATTATAAAATAAATATATTTTGTAAAAGTGTGATAAATCTCTCGGCCGGAAAAGTATTCAAGACCTAGATATTATATACACTCATGTCCATAAATTAAGGATAATTCAGAATCACACAGAAATTGAACTCTAAAATAAAAATTTCACCTGTAGAATTATTACACACATCTTGAAAAAGAATATGCAAATTACAGGAAACCACCAGATGGCGCGGATAGTACGTCACAATGACGAGAGTAAAAGAGAGGGGTATATAAGAATGGTGGCAAAGAAGTAAAATTGTTCACAAGCGCTTTAAAAGCCTTTCAGTGCAATAACCACATAGTTATGGCACAGGGAGACATACTCCATATTAATCATAATACTAACCCTGTTATACTGTTTTTTGTAAATAGGTTCTTTTTTGAAATTTGCTCCAGGGAGTAAAAAAAATCGCAATTTTTATTAATTATGTCAAACATATAGCATCTTTTTTTTACTTTTTTAATAAATAGACTTTACAAATAAGTCAAATTTGTTTTGCTTCTGTCTCTTTCTTTGCCTGAACTTCATTATCCTTAATTTAACGGACATGTGTAAATTTTATAATATCTACGTCTTGATAGTATTTATAAATTTCTTTTCAATCACTTTCCCTAACACCTCAAAGAACAGCCATTTAAATCTTCTGCTCAAATAGACCCAAATGGCCCTCATCCTAACCAACTATAACCATTATTAAATTCAATCCTATCTATATATCCATTAATAAATATTAAATAAAAAAATTTAACGAAACAGAACGATGTCCAAAGACAAAGATGAATGAAATGAACGATCCATCATCTTTCTTGAAAAACCATTAATCCAGTAAAATACATTTGTTTAATCGTCATTTTTTTCGAATGCCGTACTTAATCATCCTGAGAGGCATCGTCCACACGAATAACAATCGACACGAATGACAATCCAGACATTAAAACTTCCCAGAAAGTCATTAAGGAAGAAAAGAGGATCGTCTTCAATGACAACTGCTCAAAATCATTTATAAAACGTAAGTAGTTTTTAACGAATCTGTAACTGTATTCTTCTTTCTTTCTTTCTTTGGTCAATCCTAATAAGACATCGATTAGAGGGGGAGGGGGAAAGCACGAAAATTGCTTTCGAAAAGAAGAGTTTAGAAATGAAGACAAAGAAGAATGAATCATCTCTTTAAATGTCGCATTTCGAAAGCAATTTCAGCGGTTCGTTTTGCAAAGTACGTTCTCTATGCAAAATAGCGCAGCGAAATGAGTAGATGAGGCCACTTATTTTCCACACAATAAATCACTTCGTGGTCTAATATTTATTACTTCCTTAACTCAATGTCAAGCAGTCGAAATTTCATACAGATCAATAGAAGTTGAATTGAAAATGAGTGGTTATCGTGATCTGAAATCATAATAATCACGATCGTACCTATCAATATAATGAAATTGACATTTCACTTTAAACCAAATAAATGTGTAGATTTTATTTCTATTTAACAAAAATAGAATAGGTACTGTTAGAGTAAACAAAATATTATTAAAAAGTTATTCTTATAATTATTATTCAGATTACATAAAATAACGAATTTTGCTTTTGTATTTAGGATATTATTTTAATTACAATTTGATCGTTTTTAAACTGCAATGTTAGTGTACTTGTATTTTATCATTCTACACTCGTTAATAATTTTATAACAAGTTGTTGTTCTAAAGCAGCTGGCAATACAGAGACAATTCATCTTTGTGCCATCAGCAAGGGCTGCACCGCTATCACTCACTGAGCACTACCCAGGGGCACGTGCAGCTTGAGAAACGTCGGGGAATTTATTCCTCGGCGATGGATTCTACTGCTGTGGCTTGAGTCTTGCTACGTTAATCAATTCAAGCGAATCTGAGCTGCAATTTTTGGCTTTTAAATTTTAATTAATTGCTACGATGTGTCACCTTAATCTAAATAGTAGCTATCTGGTCTTTAACTTTTTAATTGTTATTAGTTTTAATTTATTCTATAGCTTGTTTTTACTTATGCTAACTTTTAATTATTTTATTTTTATTCTATTTATTGTTATTATTATTTTTTTTTTTTTTGGGGGGCATCGTCAACGGACTCTTAATTGTACCTATAGCTTTAGCTTTTTCGGTGTCTTGCTTTAATTGCTCTCAAGCAAGAGATGTTTTTATCTTAAATTCTTTATTTTTCTTTTTCATTACTACTCTTCAATTTAAGCAACTTCATTTTTGTGCAAATATTTTAACTACTTTAAGATGCGGAGGTTTTCGTGGTTCTTAAAATCACATAGGAACTCCGTAACAGGTACGCCCATAGCCCGTGTAGCTTGAAGGTACACGAGTCACACTATGACCGCAACGGTCTACGAATTTTATTGGGACCTACTGTTTAAATTGGATCCAGAACTAACAAACACCCAAGCTCTTCCTTCCGAACTTCAAGCTCACAAACACCCATAACATCATTGGGACTCGAAACCAAAGGTACTGAACTCTAAAGCGCCCATGAAGCACCATTTTTTTAAAGGAATAAAATAGTTACTTTCATAAGGGATAAAATATTATTAGAAAAGTTATTCTTAATTATTAACGTGTAGATAAAATATCAAATTTTTATTTGTATTTAGGAAACATTTTGTAATTGCAATTTAATAATTTTTAAAATTGTGATAATAGTATAATTTTTCAAAATTATTGTACTACTAGTTCGTCCTTCTAAATTCCTTATTAATTTTATAATTTATAATTCTATGAAATATAAAATGAAATAAAATTGTTTATTCAGCACGAATTAGTTTAGAAAACCCTTTTGTGTAAGCGATGCATTAAAGTAAATAGGGCGCATTGAACAGAAGGGCAAAAGACTT